AGGTCTTGGAGCGAGCTGGATCCGACCGGCTGAGAGTTTGTGTCTTCCACCTCCACAACGACGCGGCGGCAGACAAGGTGGCGTTGGCTCATGAAGTGTTGGGCAACATGTTCATCGACTGCCTGCACTACCAAGTCGACCTCATCGGTGGCGACGCCAACATGGCCCTCTACCGGGCCACCGGCAGAAAGCAGGAGTCGATGGATATTCGTGGCGGGATGTACCAAAGCCTTCTCGACTACTTCTTGGAGGCATGGTCAGAAAGCCCAAAGTGCCCACACCTCTGTTCGCCTCGTGCGAGACATGTGTCAGCAAACGCCATGTGGCTTCTGAAACAGTATGAGGACACGCTGGGAATGCCATACAAGGAAGCTAAGCAACCAGACTGGAATACCTTTCCTGGTTTGGATCCTGTTATGGCTACAGTCATGGAATGGGGACACAGCATGTCGGACGATCAATGGGCGGAGTTTCCGTCTTCAAAGAATGAGTTCGACATCCATGTCTCTGAGTGGCTGTTAAACTCCACCAGCGCCGCGTACCTTCTCAACGATCGGGACTATGACGCTCACACTCCGCTCCTCATCGAGGTTCACGCGAACCAGTACTCTGGAGGCAGGATGAGAGCGCTCAACCGCAATCCCGACACCATGAAGGAAGCCGCGGACAGAAGAAAAGAGAGACAGAAGCTGAACAAGGCGCGTGGTTCTGGTTCTACTGGTCCTGCAGCCGCACCACAGGGAGCAAGCTCTTCTCAGGAAGAGGCAGCTTCTGGTGCTAAAGCTTCTGGTTCTCAACGTCCTCCAGAACCCGCACAACCTCCTGGTGGCAAAGAAGGCGGCAAAGGAGGCAAGTCCTCCAAAGGAAAAGGGAAGGACGCCGACAAGGGCAAGTCCAAAGGCAAATCCAAGGACAAGTCCAAGGGCAAGAACAAGGGGAAGAACTGACTAGGTTCCGATTCTTCGGACGTGGATATGGACAATGGTTCTGAAGAAGTTCCTTTGGAACAAGTTGGAGACGTTGCTCCAGATCCACAGATATCGCTACCTAGATCCCCTGCTGATCCCCGCGGTTACGACCCTGTTCGTCATCAGCCGGTGATGCCGATTCACACTGTCGACATCTACCGTTGGCATGGTGAGGATCATTGGCGTGATAGAACCTGGGATGCAGACCTAGAGTTCGTCGACTGAACTGGCTGTGTGTTTCACGGAATGCTTCTTTCATAAGAAGGTATCCACTTTGAGCATTCGCCATTTCATAGGGAGATGCTTTTCTCAGGAAAAGGTACTTCCTAAAGAACTCTTTCTCAAAGGAAGATACTTATCTCAGGATAAGATACTTCTAATGCCCTTATATATTTGCCTTGCCGCAAGATGTCATGCTGGCATCAAGTAAAGCTAAGCTTTACACCTTTATGTTACAGTATGCTTTCCGCCTGGAGAGGGAACTGAAACACAAGTGGGCAACTTTCAAGCAAAAGTTTTCAGTTGAAGATCCGTTTGCGTTTCGTGCGTGTTCTGCTCTTTTCATTGAAGCTGTCTTCAGGCTAGAGATGTATAGATTCTCTTCAAGTCGCAGATGTAGCTCAATACTCCGCTAATTCGACCAAGAGCAATAACAGGCTTGTAGATTGCCGACTCCACGGCCATGCAGCTCTACGTGTTTTAAATTTGTGCCTGGTTGAAACACTGAATGTTACACATCCAGGTGCCTGTCTGTTTCACGTATCACTTGCATGTATCCATGCCTGTTGCTCAAGGTTCTAGTGCAGTGGACTACAGCTGTGCGCCTGTAGCAAAAGAGACACCTGAGTGCCTGTGTTCCTGTACGCCTAGCGAGGGGATACACGTCCAGGTTACATCTCAACGGGGGGGGGGGGGGAGGGGGGGGGGAGGGGGGGGGGGGAGGGGGGGGGTGGGGGGGGGGTGGGGGGGGTTTCTTGTTTCAGCTTGGCTAAGGGGGTATGGGCTTTAGGGGGTAAAGTTTTTTGGCTTTCGGGTTTAGGTCTAGAGCTTATAACTAGGGTTTAGGGTTTAGAATGCAGGGATTTAAGGGCTTATGGGTTTAGGGGCTTACGGTTTAGGGGTTTAGGGGTTTCGGGCATTAAGGCTTCTTTAGGGGTCTTTCGGGGTGCTTAGAGCGGTGCGGTCTGTCTTAGGCAGTTTTTACAGGCTGTTGTTAAGGGTCTCGTAGGAATTTAGATTGGCTTTGTGGGATTGCAGATTATCTGAATTATCTGATAATTAGTTTTCAAGGGATCTAGGATTTAGAGGCGGCACCCAAAGACTCCAATATCCCTTAATTAAGGAGTGGACCTTAAATTTTGGGGACCCTTAAGGTATATCCCTTATTTGAGGGATATTGGAGTCTCTGGGTCCAGGAACAGAAGCCAGAGTACCGAACCAGGAGGAGTGTTTGCTCAAATGGACAACTGCGTTAGAAGCTCGGTGCCTCTCAGCATGGCAAGCTGTGGCTGAATGCAAAACGGGAAGGGTCAACACACAGAACTTACCTTTGGTTAGTACGGAATGGAAGAATCGGGTACAATTATAAACACTAGTACTACCATTCTTCCATTCCCTACTAACTAAAGGTAAGAGAAAAGGAGCCTCTGCGTCTGACTGGGCCCGAAATCCAGGCCCCGAAACCAGCGTAGACCGGTACACAAGAGATCATTCGTCGCATCGCTTCCCGGAATGTGCACCTGGACGTTGCAAGACCGTACTTGGAGGTTCATGGGACTTAGTAACTACAGTCATAAGTACCTTAACGGGGGGGTGAAGTAATTATAAGCATAGTTACCTTATTCATAACCCTAGCTACTAAGTGTCATGAACCTCCAAGTATTATGACTCAATGACATTGGACTCGACCCTGCGTCCTCGGGTCGGCATTGCCTACGTTGCGCGAGCATCGGTGCGTGCATTGCAGCAGCCAGCTGTCCGTCCAGCATAGCTCACAACAACAACAACAACAATTTTTATTAGACGCTGAGCGAGCGGGCTCTGCTCATTGCGGGCGTGTGAAACTGCCTTTGCACCTGAGCAAAGAGCTGAGAGCAGAGTAAAGAGAGCCTGGGCCTGGAGTCTTGAGACTGGCAGTCAGCAGTAGACAAAACTTAAAGCTACAAGCTACTTCAGAGGCCGTCACTTGTCACTCAGTTGGGTGAGAAACCCTCCGTCACCCTCAGTGTGGACTATGGCGTCCCATGTCCACGAACCAATGATTGATGAGCCGTACCCAACGGGCCGTCACTCGGAGTGCCTGTTTCGTGGCGTCCCACTCATGGTCACTCACAATCAGAGGCGGTGGGCCGTAAGGTCGCAAAGTGACATAATGTCCGAGGCCAACCAATGGAGGTAGTAGAAGCTGCCCACGCCTCGGCGTAGGCTCATGGAGAGAGACTGTGTCCAACCCGATCTAGCATGGCATAACTGCCTCAATGTGGCAGTTGGGCGTGCTCACACACAGTGAGCAACGAGCAGGCTCGTGAGTGCGAATATGCTGTTGACTGAGGCAGCTCTTCTTTTTTGGCTAAGAGCAGAGTGCATCGGCAAAGTCACGGCACCCCCGGGAGCTGAAGCTCCGTGCCATGAAAGGCCAATGAAAGATTAAATTTCGTGGACGGATCAGGCGTTGCCTGCATGCGAGCTGCGAGCGTTGCCCGACGTAACTAGGTGAAGCTACGTCGCGTGAAGGCTCAAGAGATCTGTCAGCCCTAAGGGAGATGAAAACCGAGATCAACAAGAGTGGCTTTATGCGCACTCGACAACCGGCCAGGGTCAGAAATACTGTATGCAGCCAGCGTGATACGATCTGTCAGACTCCAACCGCGAGTACAGTGAACATGGTTGTGAGCTGGGAAAATGAGTGCCTGAAAGGCCAGGCTAAATGGGCGGCCACTCAGCAGACCATAGTCAGTTTCTTCGTAATCGGTGCCTTGCCAGGATTCCACCCAGACTGATCCTTCATCGTGGTGGGAGAGACTAAGCAGCAACGTGCCCGTCTTGGAGTTGGACTGATCTCGATGAGGTGGAGTACGAACGTTGAGGTTCAAGGAGAAGGTAGTCCATTTGTGCTCCGGGCAGATGTGCTCAATCAGTCGGTTGAGCAATCGACAGAAGGATCCATGCCGAACCGTATCTGCGCAAAGTCCGATAGGTCCTCGTGCGAAAGCGCCGAGGGTGACATTGTTGGCTCTGCCATCAGAGAAGCGTTGGCGACCTGGGCGCCATGTCAAAGCTCGAACTGCTGTGCGCACAGCATTCCAGAGCGGTGACTGAGCGTCTTGTAGCAAATGCCACGACAGAATTTCAGCGCTTGGGGTCCGCTCATCCAACTCACCGTACGGAAAGGGCATATGAGTGTCAAGGCTGCGAGGGAGACAGGGTTGCAGGCGTGCAAGGTAGTAGGACAACTCCTGCATCCGTTCATGCCCAAAGGTCTGAATTGCCAGGTGCAGCAGATCATTGTAGGATAGCATCCCCGCTTCGGCCGGAAGCGACAAGCGTGGCGGTCGAGCGGCCAGGGCATGCATGGCCTGTAACAAGAGGTACTCCTAGGGCCACGGCGTACAGGTCCGGCGGAAAGTCTCGCGTTTGAAACATGATGTTGGGAGCTTCCTGGCTATGTTTGCTGCTGGAGCCACATGCCCTAGAAAGAGTGAGATAGAGTGGTCCCTGGCTCGTGCGGCAAGAGCAGAATGACTTTTCGAGAGTTTGTACTCCGCTCAAAGAGACTAGCATCTCTAGTGGAGGCGGTGCTGCTTGACTCATCTCTGAGCGCTTCGTCAAAAGACGCCCGGTTTGTAAGCAGGACGTTGCCTGACAGCGTTGCCTGTATTGCAAAGGTGCTGAGCAGAAAGGAAGAGAAAGATTACAGTTGCCTATTACCAACAACGCGCAATGATGTCAGCAGGCGGTGCCTGGCATCAACTGGGGCGTTGCCCGGCAGCCGCAAAAGGTGAGACTGGCTAAGTAGCCCTGGCATGCGATGGCTCAGCGGTAATAGCCGTGGTAGGCAGAGTTCCTGGCATTGTAGGAATTTTCTTCCCAGTCCCGCCAGTCTTGCCAGTCTTGGGAGCCGGCGGATCTGGAGTGTTGTTCGGGCGGGGGCTCGTGAGAGCCATACGGGTCCGACCTCCTGGACTCCTTGTTCTCTCGGTGCTCAGCTTGCTTTTCGCGGCGACCACGAAGCTGCTGGCCAGTAACATTGCGAATCACGTTCAGCTTGCTATCCAGGACTTGGCCGTGCGTAATCTTGATGGTTGGATGACTGTCGCGCGTGGCCTGGATGATATTGACGTGGGAGGGTTGGTGCGCCTTCTTGGTGGCTGCCTCGTAGATGGTCTGCAGGGTCGTCGCAAAGAGGCGAAACTCATCCTGAGTAGCCACACGCTTGCCCTCGAAGAGAGCGTAGGGAACCCCATTTTTAATGGTAGCCTGAAGGCCCCCGAGCCAGGTCGTGAGCTTGGGATGGATGTGCTCTTGACCAGCACGGTCCTTCGTGGCCATCGTTAAGTGGCCAGAGGAGTGGACAACAAGTCGACCCGAGATCACAGAGCGCCAGCTGAGGTCTTTTCGATCAGCTTCAGGTTTTTGGTAAACCCTGCTAAGGCCTGCAAGCACGGTTGGCAGCTTGGTCAAGACCTGAAGTCGGGCATTCCATATCGCTGTGAACTCCTGGGGCTGAAGAACACCCACGACTTCAGGAGCCGTCAGTGACTGAAGGTCCGCTACTGCCACCACCCAGTCGTAGAAGTCCTTCTCGGCACAGAGTTCCTCCATTGTGGGAGGAGTGTTTTCTGGCTCTTGAGGAGGAGCTTCATGACGATGCGGTGCATCAAGAATGGCCGGTCGCGGTGCGACGTATGGCGGCGGGGAGGCAGGCTCGTTGGGCCGTTGATTGCCGGAATCTGAGGAGGAGGCCGCCGCAGCGGCCTGACCTGAGCGCCCAGTGGTAGCCCTGGCATAGGCCTCTTCCCCCGCGTGATGCCATGTAGCGCCGCTGCCGCGTGTCCGCAGAAAGTGCGGCAGTAAGCCCTGAGAGGTGTGGAACATGCAGGGCCCGCCAGATTTGCCCGCACAGAAGACACAGCACAAAGTGTCACCATTGTCTGAAATGGCTATGCCAAGACCGCGCGGGATGAGCTCCTGGACTTGCTGCTTGGTGAGTTCGCCATAGAACTGCGGCCACTTTTCGATGAGCTGCACAATCCGATCGAGGAGGCTGGTGTCGAGAGCTTCAAGCACATGTGCCTGAATGGTTGCCTCAGTGGGGACCGGAGTTGTGGAGGCGTTGCCTCGCCGGGTCGTGGCGTTGCCAGCCTCCTGCGCTGCGTGGAGTGCGGTAGGGAGTCCACGAAGGATGGCATCGTTGTTGGCTTTGGTGGAAGCCGGATCAGACTTCCATCCCTTGTTCCAACCCCAGCACCGAGTAAGAGCTATGAGTTGCTTGGAGGCTGTTCACGCCCTGCATTCGCCGCAACTGATCCTCATGGACCTCCTGCAGCAGATAGATCGGGCCCAGGGTCTGTGTGAGGTGCCAGCCAGGGGCCAAGCTGCGTCCTTGCGCCGTTGGGTGGAGGACCGGGTCACTGAGCAGGTCCTGGCGTACGATCTCATAGAGGGCGATGCAGAAGAACATATACTTCTCGTTGATGGCCCCCTGCGCATCCACATATTTGTGCTGAAAAGCATGGCGTAGTGCAGCAGTCATGAGGGGGTGCTGCCGTCGTCCCATGAGGATGCCTTGGAAAATGTGGTCCTTTTTCTGACCGATGGCCGTGAGGAAGTAATCAGGAGGGCCGCTGGCTCGCAAGGTATCAGCATCCCATCCATAAATTTGGGAGGCAAGGTCGGAGAGGAGTGGCTTGTCTCGCCACTCTGCCACGATGGAGGAGTGAAGCTCCTGCGGCGTGATCAGGAAGGCAGTCTTGATGTCGAGGTAGATGCCGCCGCGGAGCCAGTGTTCAACGTATCTGAAGACATCCGCGCGATGCGCGTTGCTTCGGAGCTTGGAGAGAAGGCGTTGCCCTGCTCCTCCAGTGACTGATCGGATCACTTCCGCGCAGGCTTCGTCGTTGAAGAACTCGCGACGAAAGGTCCGGAACTTGTCCTCCGCCATTTCCTTAGGGCCAACCATTTCGTCATGAATGAAGGTCTGGACCAGGCGCTGCGGGATTGGGAACCTCCCATAGGGAGTACAGTCAGCCGGTACCGTGAGGCGGTACGTCTTTTCAATGGGGAAGTTGGCTTGGCTGGCCGCCACGATCAGCAACTCTCTAAGAGTGGAGGCTCGAATGAGCGCGTGGGTGGCCAACATCTCCTGATGTATCATGCCCTGAGTCGCGTTCCAGGAGCAGCACAGAAGAACTGGCAGAAAGGGTGGAGGAGTGTGCGGCGCCTGCTGCGCATCCCCTGGTCCCAGGCCACCCGCAAAAGGTGAGGTAGATGGGGTTTGGGGAGCGTTGCCCTGCGGAGTCTCGGGGGCGTTGCCTCCTTCAGCTCGCTGTGGTTTCGGTACTGTCATACAGTAGAGAGCGCGGCCAATGATACGCCCAATGGCAGGCAGCTCAGCAGACGGCTGAAAGTGCGTGGGATCCTGGCCATACAGGTCCAGATCCGGAGGCTGGTCCAGGTCCATGATCTGCCAAAAGAACTCGTAGTCCTTGAGGTTGAAGTCGTGCCGTGCCCGTTCCACATAGTCATAAGCAGACTGCTTGGAATGTGGTACACTGCGTCCGCAGGGAACCAGGCCTACCTTGACAGGCTCATCGAGCCTGTCCCGCAGGAAGTGCAAGAAGCCCTCATTGACCAGGATCGGAGCTGGCAGGGAGTCGCGAGACTGGAGGGAATCCCCCGCAGCCAGAGCAAGGGCTCCTAAGATGGACGAGGGAAGCCCCTGGACACACCACCGAGTAGCCCATCCCTAGCGAGGGGTAGCCGTATGAGGCCCATTGCTTGCCCTGCCGCAAAAGGCCCTGGAAGGTGGAATCAGCAAGGGCAAGAAAGGGCGGCGCCTCATTGAGTACCTCCCGACCTGCATCATCCCAGACTGTTGGAAAGGGGCGCGTCCACGCCATGAGGAGGCACAGCCCTCTCAGAGGGTGGACCCCAAATCGAAAAAGGAACCGGCTATTTGAGCCTAGTGCAGAAGCAGAGATGCCGTGGCTACCAAGGCTGGTAGAGTAGTCGGAAGCACACTGCAAAGACGCCTTGTTTTGTACATACTGCACGAAAGGCTGCTGCGTGAAGATAGCGTGAAGGAAGAGATGGGCCTTGCTAGGCTTGCTCACATGATACACCGTCGAGTCCAGCTGGGCTATTTGACTAGCTGAAAGAAAAAGCTAAGCTTGCTGTGCTGAAATTGTCCAGTGTGAGCAGAGACCTAGCAAGCGTTGCTTGCAGTGTGCAGGCGTTGCCTGAAATGAGAAGGATGATTGAAGACACCACAGTGATAGAACACCCCTAAAAGAGAGGGTTGGCCTGGCGCTCAGTGGGGGCCGGTTCCGGCTCCTGGTACTCCAAGTAGAGCGACAGAGCCTGCAAGAAGATCATCGTATCCTGAATGGAGTTGGAGAGAGAAGAAATGAACATCCGGAGCTCCCGAGGCCGCGGGGGCAGCGGTGGTCTCCTCCGCATCAGGCGCTTCTATAGGTGGCTCAGCCCAAACGCCCGTTAGCATAGGGGAAGGAGGCGTCGTTGAAGGCGGAGTCGGGTCCGATGTGATTCGCCCTGGCACAAGTGGCTCTTGGGCGGTGCCCCCTGATGGGAGAGCGTTGCTCTGGGACTGCACCGAGGATGGGTCCATCCGAGGTGGACCTGGCGGTGGCTCTAGCTCCAGCATGCCATCCCTGTTTCGGTATGACAGCCAGGGATAGACCTGCTGAGCCACTGATCGGGTGCCACGTCCCTCAGTCTTTAGCTCACAGACCAGAAAGATCTTGGGAAGATAGCCCGACTGTTCCCACGAGCCAGTGTTGATCTGTGCTGCGAGAGAGACGCCAGGCTCATAGGAGGGCTGGTCCGGCTCGTCCACAAAATGCCCATTGGAGTTGCCCTTGCGCTCCAAAGGCGAGCGAAAGGTGGTAGTGCAAGTGCGTGACTTGCCCTCGGTAGTCCACAGGTGAGCCGTCAGCATGATGGTAGGGTTGACAGCCGTGTCTCGCCACGAGCCAGGCGGGAAGAGGCTGTGAGGATTGGGCTTGACCTTCCACGTAGTGGTGTCAAGCATCATGTCCAATTCCTGCTCGGCCTCGCGAGGTAGTTGTGGGCGAAGCTGGTCGCGTTTCCGGCGTCTGGAGGCGTTGCCTTCCTCAGCGGGTGGGCGTTGCCCCGCCTCACTTTCCATCTGGCCAAGAATTTCTTCACGGATAGTACAGGCCAGGCGGTGGAAGTCGCTCCGGCCACATAAGTAAGGGACCCGCAGCGGGGGGGTCGACCATTCGTTCATGCATTCAGCTGGAGGGCGGTGTTGAGTGCCTCCACGGCCTGCTACTGTGTAACCATAACGGACCGGCCAAATGGTCTCCTTGCTGCCGCCGTAATCGATGAGGACGAAGCTGGCAGGGTCCGTGCGGAGCATGATGTTGGCTAGCCGAACATCAGCATGTATGATGTCATGGTCATGGAGCAGGGAGATCGCCCTGCGCATATCTTGCATGAGGCGAAAGACATGACGAGTGGTCAGTGCAGAGACCGGAACAGGGTAGTGACGAGGCATGAGCACTCGGAGGTGCTGTGGATCCCAGGCCAAAATGGTCTGGAGAACCACCACCTCAGGCATGCGAGCCGCCCTGATAATTTCTCGATTGACTTCCGCGCCGAAGCCGGCTTTGGCAGTCCGAATCACATAGTGCTCTCGATCTTCCAAAAGGGGCGGGAAGGTGGCGGGGCCACGCGTCACATCGATGCGTTGCACCTCAGAGAAGGGAGAGTAGCAGACCCAGCTCGGAGGTGATCAAGGACATGACCTGAATGGAGGGGTTGATGTAATGCCCCGGGAGGACAAGAGGCGAGGAGCCATGTTCCTGCAGGCTCTCCAGAGCCTTACCGGCCTCAGCCGAGAGCGAGGTCGAGGACTGCGACATGTCCGCGCAGGGAGCAGCGTGCTGCGAAAGGTTGTGAGAGAATCTCTTGCTCGGGCCAAAAACTTTACTGATCGACGCAGGTCGATTGCTGCCAGACACCTGGGATCCTAGCTAAAGCAGCTAGAGACGCTTGTTTAAGGCGCTGGCAAAGGGTCTTCATTTGACCCGCACTTCAGCCGAGTACTGCATGCACTAGTTTCGCGGTGCGAAGTTCGCCGATTAAGTCGTTGGCGATGCCACACGACTCAGGACGCCTTGGGCAGTTTGGGCTTCCACATCATCTGCCGCTTGGATGCGGGAGGCGTAGGGGGCTTGGGAGGCGACGATGTTGTAGTAGAAGAGGAGGATGTTTCAGTCGCCCATTGACGCTTGCCGATGGCCAGGTTCTGCTTGGTAGACGTAGATGACATAGAGGATGTGCCGCCAGACGTCGCTTTGTCGTCCTTGTTCTCTGACTGAGAATGAGTCGGACCATCGAGTTCCTGACGAGCCGCCCACAGGAGATGCTCGTAGAGCTGTTTTTGGGAGATGCCATGCTGAGCCTCCGACATGGCTTAGCTATGTGAGCTTAGGAGTCCGGAGTGGAACTCTGATCGGATCTAAACGGCTAAAACATGCAATGGTTAGCTGGGGAGTGGAGGGAGAAGCAGGCAGAGGGGAGGCGGAGACCGCTAGTATGCAGAACCAGAGACTACACGGCCAAGCTGTGTGACCTTTTTGTTCTCTTTAACGCGTGTGAGCGAAGGAGCGGCAGGGGTGAAGTTCTTGACAGATGGAAAGCAATTCCCTCGCGCAGCTCTCAGCTGTGGGGTGCAAGAGGCTGCGAATCTAAAAGCCGGGAACCTGGAGGCGTTGCCTCGCCTTTGGGGCGTTGCCTCAATGCCTCAAGTTCAGCTGGTCGTTGGGAGTCCACGGACTTTTCGAGCCAGGGTGCCCGGCGTTTGCCCAGTGCCTCGCCTTCAAAGTCCTCAATGAGTTTGCTGTACGTAGAGACATGAGCGAGCAATGTGCTGTGCATCTTCAGGCGGATCTCCAAGATGAGGTGGGTCTTTTTCGCATTGGCCCGAGCCGAGAACAGAGCAAGCTCGTGATTGATCGCGTTGTTCTTGTCCGGATCATCGAGGATGAGAGCTAGAGCAGCCTTGAAGGCTTCCCAGGCTGGTTGGGTGACAGACTCAGGCTTCGTTGAATCCTTCAGGAATGGAAGCACTGCAGAAGCAACCGCAACCGTGGGAGAGCCGGAGGGGTGTGGTTGGCCTGGCTTATGATCCTTCAGCCATCCCTGAATGGCGTCGAGAGCCGTCGTGGCCAGCGGTCCCTCTACCGGAAGCTTATGAACGACGGAGAGCTGATTGAGAATGCTCTGAATTTCGTCATCGTGTGCCAAGAAGGCGCGGGTGAGCTCTTGCACCGAGAGAGCGCGGATCGTGCCTCGCCCGCCTTGAGGTGGTGCCGCGGCAGCCTTCGCCGCAGCCTCGAGGTCACGACGTGCTCGTTTTTCCGGCTTGGCCGGTGGCGAAGAGTTGCCGGCCATGAACGAGGAGCTACGTCAGCTGTACAACTTGAGCAGCAAAACTAAACAACAGCGTTCCTGCTCCCTACCGTGTAGGCCAGGTCGGTCCCACAGAGCCAGTAGGTCGCCCCCTTCCTGCGAGGGGGAAGTAGGGGCCCCTGGCCGCAGGGGAACCCTCAGCTTACTCCTCTAGAACTGGGACTGGCATAGGGCCAGCCTCCGCTGTGTGCGGTAATGAACCAAGTCGCACTAACAGCATATAACAGCCTTGTCGCGCCTGCCTAAGATCAGAATCTGAGGCCGGAGCAGTCGGACGACCGTCGTCCGTACTGGACCACGGTTGATCGGGTTGGCTCCTCCAGAGGGAGCGATAGTGTCCGCTGTGCGGGGTATCTCCAATGTGGAATACACATGACTGCACCCAGCCCTGAACTGTGTGAACAGAGCCATCAGGGGCCCATTGGGGAAGCGCGATTAAACGGCCTAGGCCCGTGACTGCGTAGCTGAGCTTTCGACCGTCTGCAAATCGGGCTACAGATAGGACGATCAGCCTTTGCTGTCCCCTAAAAGCAGCTCGCACCGGTTGCCCGGACCATTGGCGCACCAGGTCTTGAAGGTCCTGGGAGCCGGCAGTCAGCGGAGCCGGCAGCAGTGCCAGCGGCCCGCCTACGTCCAGGATTTCCGTGGTGTTCGCATCCCTGACTTCCCAAGGCCTGGCGATCGGAAGATCTGTGATTCCTGCAAACAAAGCCGTCAGAAATTCAGAATCGTCTTGTTGATGGCCATCATAACGCCAGGTGGGAGTAAGGTGGCGGAGAGTAAAAGAGGCAGTCAGTGTAAAGGGAGAAGCAGAGGCTTTGTCAGTAACTTCGTGATGGAGAGAGGAGCTAGCTCTTCCATGCTCAAGCAGAACACGCGTCGGCAACAGAGCCGAGAGCGTAGAATTGATGTAGCAGTAGTGGGAGATATTGCTTAGCGGGCGGGGGGCATCAGAGGTAACGTGCTCGGATCCCGAAGCGCCAGAGGGCAAGGGCGCACCTGCCACAGGCGTTGCCTGAATTGCTGGGGGCGTTGCCCCGGTGGCTCGTCTACCATCGGAGTCAGAGGTAGTACGAGGCGCTGCACTAACAACAGGGATGTACCGTCGCAGCGGTCCTCCCTGACAGCGAGAGAGCTCATGAACCAAATCGTAAAACGAGATTTGGAATAAAACAGGGCACTGCGCAGGGTGTAGTCTTTTGTCCGTGACCGTCTTACGGCAGCACGGACAGGGCATGCCCTTGATAAGGACCAGGCCTGATTTGGTGCTCCTGTCAGCAGCCGCGGCGCCATGAGCTGCCCACTCCGGTTTGTGGGCTTGCCGAATGTGAGACTTGAGCTTGGTGTTGTCCGGAGACCAGAATCCGCAGATCAGGCAATAAGACATAAGATCCTGGGATTCATCAAGCCTGCCTAGTTCGACCGCAGTGTGAGTCTGCAAGGTGTCATGAAGTCGTTGCTGTCTGGGGTGAAGCCGAGGGACCTGCTGCAAGTCCGAGGGGGGATGAGCCGCTTCATCGAGCTCCTTCAATTTGGCCGGGTCTGGGCAGGCACCTGATAACAAATGGTCTTTTAAGCCTTTCATCTGAGGGAATTGCCGGTTGCATGCTGCACACTTAGGAAGCCCTCCTATCGAAAGGGTGTGGGAGAAGGCTCTAGGGACATATCTGAGGACCGAGCCTGGGTGCTTGCGTGCCTGGTGTGTGCGTAGGCCGACCTCGGTGTCAAAGGCCTGAGCGCATGTTGGGCATGCATACGATTGGGGGGCTTCCTGTGGCTTAAGTTCATCGGAGAGCTGCTGGAGAACCTCTGTGTACCCGACAGAGAGTGCTTCCGCTTGATGCACAGCTTTCTGTGTCAGCGAGACGTCTCCGGCAGGTGTTTTCTTTTGGCGGAGATGCAAGCGTTTGACACGATTGGCCTGTCTCGCCTGGAGCTTACAAACGGGATCTATCATCTCGTAGGAAGCATAAAGGTCAGAGGTTGACATGTGGGTGAGATGCACCGGATTGTTAAGAACCGCACGAATCTTGCGAGCGTGCCAGGCGCGCAAAAGTCGAGCCGTTTCAAGAGTTAGACCGACGTCGACTAGCCCAGAGGCCACTGTGGCCCAGACGGTGCTGTGCCAGATATGGAGCCTCGATTTCGGCCCTGCAGTGCGTCTGTTGTGAACAAAGCGACGTACCTGTTGCAGTTTGGCGTTACCCTCCTGCAGCCGGAATGTAAGAGTGGCCTTCTCGAAATTCGAGTAGGAGAGCATGACTCCTAAGTACTTGAAAGACGTGACCATTGGAAAGCCTTCGTGAGACTTGGATGTCCCCAACCGCCACATCTTGTGACGAGTACCATCAGACGCGGTGCGCCAATACGTGTGCTGGGACAGGGCGCATTGCGCCTGTTGGCCTTCGAGCTTTACCATGACTGTGCACTTGGAATTGTTCACTGCAAAGCCATGACTGCGGACCAACTGCAACAACTGCTCTATCAAAGCATGAGCGCGTTCTAGATCTTCCAGCGAGTGGATGTCTCGGTGGATTGTCAGATCGTCCGCGTAGCCTGTGAGGTAGTCCACTACAGCTTTGACTCCTACTAGAGCTATAAGCTCTCGAAAGATGGTGCCTGTGAGCATGGAGAAGAGGGTGGGAGCAAGCTTGCATCCTTGTTCAATGCCCGCCGTGGACTGGACGGTATCGGCCTCACCTTGCGTGCGAAAAGTGTACGAACTGCCTGCGTGCAAGGAGGCGACAAGATCAATGAGGTCCTGTGGGACACCTGCGTCGTGCAGTGTGTTGAGTAGGTCGGACCTGTTTACCATATCGAAGGCTTGCGACAAGTCCAAAGCAAAGCAAATGCCTCCTATCAACTGAGGACGTGTATGTCCTGCGTGAAGCTGGTGTCTGGTTCGCCGGGCCTCCTGGCAGTTACTGCGCACTTGAGTGACATGTCCTACGACCCTGCCTAGCGCGTCAGATAAACCGCGTTGGGGTTGGTAGGCAAACTGAGGAAGGCCCCGAAGATATTCAGCCGTGTAGGGAGAAAGCTTGTCTCTGCAGGCCCCTGCCAGGCCTTTCCCGTCAGGGCGTATGATGCCCAGGGGGCGTAGATTGCTAGGCTTCGTGGCTGGCTTGTTGGGCTTAGGAATGAAACACATGTCAGCATCCTTGAGCGGTGGCTGAAGAACATCCTCAGCCGACTGTGGGCGTTGCCCAATGGATTGCAGCGTTGCTGCTAAAGCCTCACCCGCATCCGCCGAGCACAATCGCCAGGACGCCGCAGGTGCGGAGCCTTGAGGGACCGCTTTGTGTGGTCGTATGGAACCGATGTGCTTGGCTAGCAGTCCTGCCGGGATGTCCGGCAAAGTAGTTACATGGTGATCTAGGGGAGGATGCTTGGCAAAAACCTGTTCCACGTGCTCGCGCAGCAAACGGAGCTCTGAGTGTGAGTCCAG